CAAACCAAAACATTATGGATCAAAAATTAAATAGGTCTGCCTATATTTACTAAACCAAAACATTTTGGACAACTACTAGACTTTAGGATTACGTACAATACCAACACATCCACCTCTAACTATGTATTGTTTAATTGTTTTGTAGGAGAGTTTTAACTTACTGACGAGGGATATTGGTATGTATTTATGTTAAGGGGTTTGTTGTAAGCTAACTATATTAGGTGCAGAGATGATGAATGATGTATTAACTCGAATGATGATGATAGTTATGGATGGTTACTCTTATTATTATTGCTTATATAAAATGATAGTTTATGTTTGTTTTCATGTAATGTTGTGCTATTTGGTAAATCCGATTATCCGATTAACCAAACCAATTAAACTTTGGTTTGCTTAATTTGGTTTTCGTGTTAATTTGGATGGTTTGTTTAAGACATTTTATTCCATGGTTAATGAAATTTAGGCTTAATTGGTTTGGTTATTACCACGGTAACCATTTGAACACACCTATATTGCACACGTCGTCGGCGAGGGTCAATTCGTATTCTGCACGTCGATGGTCACCCACCGGCCATATTTGTAATTAGGAGCTTCCTTCGTTTGCCTCTTTAGCTATTGTTTTGGATATGATTAGGAGTTTCCCTCGTGGTATGTTTTGTGGGAGGGATGGTTTTCGAGCTTAACATCTTATACATTGCTTGGGTAGCGTTGTTGTGGCTATCTCGGATGATTTGCTAGCCTCTATTACTCAAGTGGTTAAAGTTTTCCTTGGTGAGTACATTGTTAGAGCTCCGCTCACGCCACTTTTTAAACCAGGGGGTGATGTCTATCCTATAGCCTTGGCACTGTTTGGAGACGTTTTTTTTCTAAGGTTGGTGCTTGTCTTGTTGGCCCTACTTTATCTTGTTATTTTGCTGGTCTTAATTTGGGTTGGGGTTTCTAGGGGATGAGGGGCAATTTTGCATGGCTTGAACCGGTTCATTGAAGTCCGCGGTGGTGACGTTTGTTTTCTCTATGTTGTTGGTCGTTTTCCAGAATGCTTTCAATTTAGTTGATAGTGGGGCCATGCTTCAGGAAGTTCGTCGTCATTACCTGGTCCTGTCCCAATGGGTAGAGTTATGTTACTCTAGCCCTGCCCGGTTGTATTATGGGGTGCATAGCTTATGGTCTTGCCAGTGGATTCAGCAGGGAGACCCTTTGGGCTCTTTGCTTTTTGCTTTGGTGTCTTGTCGCATATACGATATATGGTCTTGTATATGCAAGTCATTACATACCATCAAGCAACCAATTAACATGGAATATTCCAGTTGTAAATTAAAACTGGTTGACCAGTATTAATCATAAGTCCCATACTTTGATCGATTAGGGTCTTAGAAGTCGAGACAATTTTCGCTATGGAATGAGCAAACACCTTCTCAATGTGGTTAGATTGAGACAATGCAACTCGCGACAATAAAAAAATTGAAAAATGAATTTCTAAATCCAAAATTCATTTGTCATTTTTCAATTTTTTTTTATTCAAAATGAAAAAATAAATAGTAATAGGTGGAAAATATAAAATATTTTAAGTGAAAGGTCCCGACTTGGCGGTGACGTGACGCGTTGATCGTTAGTCAATGCGTTTGACCGTCCAAGATAATGGTCAATTTTCGGGTTTGGCCGATTTCGTTACTTTGGTGTATAGTTAAGAGATAAGACCATGATGTTATAGATCAAAAAGATTGACCAACATGTTTATTATGTCAAAAGTTCAGGTCATACAAATATATTAACCCAATTATCAAACATCGCAAACTTGGTTTTAGAGACTGAGCTTATTTGACTCGAAATGATAATTATTTGCTTCTGTATATCTTTTGACGCAGATACATTATTTGCATCCGACGCCTCAGTCTCTAATTCCTTTTAAAAACAAACATAGAAGCAAATAATATATGTTACTAATTAAAGAATTAGAGAATTAGAGGCAAATTTATTTGATTGTGATTCTTTTTTTAACTTTTCATTTTTTTAATTCGTATTTACTTCTAGAGTATAATATATTTGTCTCCCAATGTTTGTTTCCGAGACAAACGTATATATCTTGTTAAGTACCCTATTCCCCCCTATAGAGTCAAATATTTGAGTCTGTTGAATACTTTTGAGACAAATAATTTCATTATGTTAAGGCTTTTAGATGCATATAATATGTTTTCATAATTGCCTCTAAAAAATAAACATTCCGTTCAATTAACAAAGATAAGAACAATTTGATTGAATGAATTAAAATATATGAATGATTACATTATTATTAAAGTATATATAAGTAGACGAATACATCAAATTTGAATAAATGCTAATTTCATTCCTAAACGAAGGGGTGAAGAATAGCATACCTCGTAGAAGATCGTACCATTGCAAAGCTTCGAGTTCAACATGTAACCTTCACTGTTGGCTCACTAATTCCTTCCGACGTCGCAATTTCAGTGAGAAAACCCTTGGTATCCGCAGCCAGCAAATTGCCCGCCAACTCTTGTTCGTAAGTATTAGTCTTTACAACAATATATTCAAAGAAAATTTTTCGATGATATAAGTACTCATGTGGTTGTTCAAAAGAATTAGGGTAATGTCTATTTTTTATCCAAATATTTTTCAGATTTTTTTATATTATCCAAACTTATTAAAATTTTATTTATTATCCAAATCTTTCATAATGTATCAAAATATTAACCAGTTTTACATTATCGTTAATAATTTTATAACTCTTTTCTTAGTTAAAATACTAAATTTTTGAAATGTTGACCTTCATGAGTCTCTTATAAGTCAGTATCATGTTGTCAAGTTAATATTACTAACGAAATTGTTAACTGGAAGTTAACATGTGGCTAATTTTGAGTATTTCGATAGGTTTGGATAATATAAAAGAATCTGAAAAAGGTTCGGATAAAAAATAGACATTAACCAAAGAATTATTCATGTTTGTGTTCGTGAGCCATGGGTACTCATGTTCTCTAGGGTACCTGTAGTCTGCCGAGTTGGGTTGAATTTTCTCCTTCAAAACTGAATGAGTATTTTTGTGGATGTACCATATATTGAATTAGATTTGTGTAGAAACCCAACCCGACCCATTTGACATTCCTAATCATGAGTAACAAGTTATAGTTCTATATTTTTTTCCATAAATTTATAGATAAAAAAGATAAGAGTCGATTACGAAGTCTAGGAAAGAGTGCATAACCAATGCACCTATCCTGGACTAGGGGTGGACATTCAGTCGATCGGTTCAAAACAAACCGAATAGATGATTATCAGATCCTCGAAGTAGGCCAGAGAGCAAACCGAATTCGAACTAAAATATATTTTGGCTCAGTTTGATTTTAAGACCCCAACCGAATTTACAAAAAGCAACCTTGTCCTCTCCCCCACTTCTTTTCACGTGAAACACTCTTCCTACTAACCTTATCTCTCTCTTTATCTCTATGTCTTACTCTCCTCGGAACACAAGCAGCGGCGATTTCTCCTCCCTCTCTCGGTCTTTGGACTCGGCGGAATCGTGATTGAAGGAGAGAAAAACTCAGAGGCAGGCGGCGATGAAGGTTGATGGAGAGCGAGCAGATTCATAGACTGACAGTCAAATGGTGATTGACGAAGTGAGTCAACCACCAGCTCCCTCCTTGATTCTGATTTTTTCCTATTATTCATGAATCTTCTTCTTCAATGAGAGTTTTTTTAAGGATTCCCGACAGTGAAGGAGGTGGGACGGCGTGAAGGAGAAGAGGATGGAGGCGATGGCAAAGGGGAATGCGGCGGATGTTCATCGATGCGAGGGGAATGACGACTGCCAACGGTGAGGCTGCGGCGACCGCTGTGTTGTTTTCATTTGGGAATGGGGCTTTAAGCCAAAGTTCATTTGGGTTGGGCTAGGGTTTCACTAGGCATTGTGGGCTGTGGGAAGTGGATTGTTGTGGGTTGTGAGATATAAGGGGTTGTTTGGAAGTTGTGATTGTTAGAGTTGTGTTTGTTGAATACATGTATTGTGCACAATACAATGTTTGGAAGAGCCAAACTGTAAAACAATGCATGCATTGTTTTAGGTAGGTCCCACCAACAATCACAAAAAATGATGCATTATACAATCTCAAATAAAAGTTGAGATATTGTTGGTTTTAGATTTGTGTCAACTTTTTCTTTCCATTTATATCCCCAATAGTTTTTGTCTTATTCTAAAAGTTGAGAGTAAATATGACATTTTCCCATAAATGTAACTTTATGTAAATCAATGCATAAAGTAGAATCTCAACAACCAAACAATGTATTGTTAAAATGCATCCATTGTATCAATACATGCATTTATATTATGGTGATTCATTACAATGCAACGATTTAACATTCGCAATTTCCAAACAAACCCTAATTAGTGAGATAGTGGGCTTTGAATTTTTTTTATTTAATAACTGTGGGCTTTGGTTTGTGTTCATTTTGGCGGTTGTGAGCAATATTTCGAAATTTCGGTCAGAATTTGAAACCTCAGTTCGGTTGGAAGAACTTTGATTTCCGAATTATTCACATTTTCTTTCTTAATTTCGAACCAAATGATAGGATTTCGACTCGGTTTAATTCGGTTTTGGTCCGGTTTGGTTCGAGTTTACCAAACCAGATGCCCACCCATATCCTGGACCCCTTGTTATAGCTTATCATGGATAAGTAAATTACGTATCTATAATGGAATGTGTCGCACGTTTCTTCCTAGATGTATTCATAGTTGTATACCAGAAAGATCTTTTCCACACGTAACAGAAAACGCCCCAATACGTAATTATTGGTCATTAATATTTAATAAGCTTCCAACAGTGGCTAATGATGAGTTCAACCCATATGCTTAGGTTAGAAGAATCACAAGACGATTCGTTTTCTTTTTATAAGACAGTGGGAAGATCATTATTCATTGATGATGGCAGGCTTGGCAGCGGTATAGTTGGCACAGAGCCACCGCCTAATCAACTGCTTTTCATAGTACGTACGTACATCAGTTAGCTCTATATAAATACGTAGATGGAGAATCGAAAAGTTTAGTAGTGCATTGTAGTAAACCCAACACACTAATTAAGCTAGCAATACTAATATGGCTTCTTCAGAATCATTAGTCATCGTGTTCTTCTTCTTGCTGCAGCTTATTGTAACCACTGGACCTCCATTATTCTTCAGCAAAGCGCTTGCAATAACTATGGCGCCGCCGCCACCTGAAAACGTAACATTTGGTAATAGAAGAACTTCTTCAGCTGTCTTCGCCTTCGGGGACTCGATTCTTGATACCGGCAACAACGATCATATCGCAACTTTGATAAAGTCCAACTTCCCTCCCTACGGAAGGGATTTTCCGGGAAGAATCCCCACCGGTAGATTCTCCGATGGAAGGCTTATTTCGGACTTCATAGGTACTTATTATTTGATTTTTGGAATTTACATACAAATACATCGTTTCTGCAGTGCAGGGCTATAGCTAAGTAACTAATTAATTGTTAATAATCTGTGTATTTAATTTGTGCAGTTGAAAATTTGGGAATAAAGCATTTTTTGCCACCTTATCTCGATCCGAGTCTTCAAGCTGAGGATCTCACAATGGGAGTGTGTTTTGCTTCTGCTAGCTCTGGCTATGACCCCAAGACACTAAAGATATTAGTAATGACTTTCCTTACTTCAAGTTAACCCTATGAGAAAAGTGGCTTTTTGCAACAACAAAAAAGAGCATATTTTTATATGTTATTTCTAACTATGAGTTACGTTGTTTGAAATATGTATATCAGTCGGTTCTATCTGTTCCGGACCAACTCAATCTCTTCCGACAGTACGTGGGGAAGTTGAGAAGCCTAGTGGGAGAGAAGAGATCAAACGACGTCGTTAAAAACGGCCTTTACGTAATCTCATCGGGCAACAACGACGTCTTATTGACCTCTTTGTTTCACAGCACAAGAAAGTCATCGTCGGAAATGGCTACATACGCTGCCTTTCTTGCCGGCCAGGCTTCCGCCTTTCTCAGGCAACTGTACGGATTGGGAGCTCGAAAGATCGTTCACCTGAGTGCATTAACGACTGGATGTAGCCCCGCGTTCAGAACTTTGCTCGGCGGAGTACAGAGGCAATGTTCCGACGAGTGCAACGAGCTGGCCGTGATGTTCAACGAGAAGCTTGGCCACGAAATTCAGCGACTTAACGACGACGTTTCGCTTCCTGACTTGAGCGTCCAGTTTGTTGACGTGTACACGCCTTTGTTAGATATCATTAGGCGTCCTGAAAATTATGGTAATTAAGTTAGTTAAGTTAATTTCTCCTTGATCAAGTTAGTTAGACTTAGGATTGCATGGTTTAAGAAAGTTTAATTTATTTACGTGGATGGATATATTGCAGGGTTTGTCGTAACGAAGGAAGGGTGCTGCGGGACAGGAACTATAGAGTTTGGATTTCTTTGCAACCGATTGAGCCCTTCAACTTGTGCCGATACTTCAAAGTACATTTTTTGGAATGGCCTTCATCCCACGGAAAAGGCCTATAAAATCTTAACTTCCGTAATCATGAAAGACATAAAGAAGCTATTATATTGAAATCTTATGTCACATCTCAATGGTTTGTCTGATTTCTCATTCGTCATTTATGAAGTTTCGAGTGTTTTATGGTGTGTTTGTTTCTAGTGTTTTTATGTTAAATAAAAGAGACAAAAGTGTACATGTAATGTTTTATAATTAATATGAAATGGAGTCATCATATATTTGTATGTAGAAATGACATGCTTATTATTTGGTGTAATAAAAAATAAGTGAATTTTACTAAAATTTATTGTCATCTAAACTTTGCATGTAGAACATGGGGAGAGGAGACATACGTATTCTGAGTATTAAATCAAGTGAAACGGCGAAGAAGTTGTCTTGTTTCTATCACACCACACCGAGAAGGTGCTTGCTCAATTCTATAGTTAAAATTGTTGTGAGTTCAAAGGGCTCGTTTGCTTGAGGGTTTTGGTGATGGATTTGGTCATGGAAATAGATCCATCATGGACTTGAATCGAAATCCATCGTTTGCGTTAGGGAATTAGGAAGATGGAATTTGTGGGCCCCACCTCTTTTGGGGTTCCAAATCCGTGGACCCCACGGACTTGGAAGTTCCACCTCTTGAGGTGGGATTTGGGTGATGGATTAAAATCCATGATGGTAAATTACCTTTCTACCCTTAATTATTTCTTTAATTACAAATGTGTCCTACTTTAATTCAATGGTCATGCAACTATAAACTTTTATAATTTCGTATTTTATAAATATGTGAATTTATCATTTCGTTTTGTAATATCGTATTTTATTTAGATTCACCTAGAATCACTTTATGCTCATCTTGTGCATTATTATTTGATTGACTGTCGGATTCCACATCGGTGAGTTAGCAAGAAGATGATGAGTTGTAGCAATAAAGCGAGCAATTGGTCCCAATGAATCCAAGTATGAGACTTATGGCTAATACTAATCAACCAGTTAAACAACTGCAATATTCCAAGTTAATTGGGTGCTGATAGTATGCATTGCTTGCATATATAAGACCATATACCATATATGCGGTAGGAAAATTAAGTCGATGTACGAGTGATCCTAGTGCTCATCATTGACATGAAATAAGACGTGTACTAGGATATCTCAAAAGGCACAGTGCATTATTGATGACCTTTTTTCTAATGCCACTACTAAAGCAAGTGTACATGTATAGAAGCAATACAATGACAAGCAATGTCGTATCCGATAGAGACTATGAACTATACTAGTACTTAGCTATATTTATCTAGCTAACTGATTCTTTAGCAATTGATTTAATTAAGAAAATTAATTATGAAACCAATAAAAGATATCAATGAATAAGCTCATAATGTTAAGGTGAAATCAAGCAAAAAGAAGGCGTTGTTCGGATTTCGTATCCCCTAGCTAAACATAAATCATCAATCAAATAATCTAGAGACTCGATGTTGTTATTCCCAGACCAAAGGAATTCCCATTTAGAAAGCACAATTCTTCTCTCCCTCCTTGCCTGCCTATCTGGAATTCCGATGTTGTCGACTTATCTCTCTTTCCCTCCTTATTGATCCCTCCTCCTCCTCCTTTGTGCTCAAGATAGGGTACATAATCATGAATTATGCACCCATCAATAATCAAATTTGGATACTGTAAAAAAAAAAAAAAATCAAATTTGGACCCTTCATTTAGAAAATTCAGATCTAAGGATGGAGAATTAAATATTATTTTTATTTTCTCTAACTTTCTGTTGACACCTAAAATTATTTTGGCCTGAATTAAATGTCGCATTAATTAGTCTCGGCATTTAATTCGATACCGCGGGTAAAAAACGGTGTCGTTTGGAGTCGAGCGGCGTCGCGGAGAGTTAAAACGATACCGCGAAACAGAAAAACGGTACCGCAAGGAAGCTCAGTGGTACCGTGACACAGAAAACGACACCGTCGGAAAACAAGATGGGGCCGCGCATTTTGGTATTGGTGTTGGAAAAGGAGTTATTATTATTATTATTATTATTATTGGTATTCCTTGTTGGAAGGGGAGAAGCGGTACCGCATGGAAACAAGCAGCATCGCAGAGAATTAAAACGGTACCGCGGATTTAAAAACGATGCCGTGAGAGTCTTGATAAGCGGTACCGATTACTTTAAAAAAAAACCATATCGGGTAAGTGACCAAAATTCGCCCAGCTCAATGCGAGTGCAGACTCGCGGCGGTTCCGTGGATTGATATTTTTTGGCTATGTTAGCGGTGTCGTTTAAATTAAAACACGGTACGGTTGTACTAGCAAACGACAGTGTTTAAAATAAAAAACAATGTCGCAAAAGGAAAAACAAACGGAGCCGCTTTGGCGCTAATGATGTCGTTGGTCAACACACGAGTCGGACTAGTGATGGCCGGATTAATAAATTAATATTTTTAATGACTATTTAGGACGGTGTCGTTTAGTTGAAAACGATGCCGCAGGAGGAAAGAAACGACACCGCGGATTTGAAAACTATGTTGCGAGTAGGCCAAACAATGCCGCAATAGTTAAAACGACAGTTTTAAATGTAAAACGGCATCGCGAAGTTCAACAGCATTGCAGGACTAGAAAATGATGTTGTTTAATTAAGAACGGCGTCGCGAAGTGAGAGTTTGACGGCGTGTCAACAATGATGGCCGGTTTAATTAATTAATATTTTAAGGATTATTTTAGACGGTGTCGTTTAGTCGAAAACGACATCGTGGGAGATATCAACACCGACGCGGTACTGAAACGATGTTGTTTAATAGAAAACAACGTCGTAGTGGCGAGAGTTCAACAATTGTGGATTTTGGCTCAGTGTCGTTTTGGCCAAGTTTCCGCGTGTCCAAGCAGTTTCGCACTCGTGGGAGTTACGCAACAAGGACGAAGTTACCCGCACGGTTGACAGGGATGAAGACGTGGGAGACAAAGGCGCGAAGGCAGTTACTACGACTGCGGGAAGAAGAACGAAGTATAAAGATTGGGAAGAGAGAGAAGCAAAGGACGGCAAAATCAAATCACAACTACACCATCGCAGAATCTATCTTTTTCTCTCTAGTTCATAGAACTTCTCTGTCAAAGACCTCCTTTGCAGAGTCGTAGTAGTTGTAGATCGTAGTCGTGGTTGCGGAGCTCTGCAGAGGAACCTCCATAGGAGTAGAGGTAACGTAACTTAGACACTCCTGGTTCGATTTTCTGGTTATTTGCCGAACACCCTCGTTCGAACGTATTTTGGAGAGGTGGTGAACCAAATAACGGTTGTTTGATTAGAAGTCAAAGGTGTATCGATCAAATCAACATCGCCGACGCCGGCAGTGGATATTTGACGGTCGTCTTGGTTTCTGTTTTAATCGATCAAATCAACGGCGCCGACTTCGGCTACGGATATTTGACGATTGTGTTGACCTTGTGTTTGTGTTTTACTTGAAAACAGTGCGCATTGAACACGCGAGTTTTGCCAACGAAACAAATTTGCACACCTGGTGGGACCCGTGTGTTCGAATGGCTCCACGACGGAGGAATCACGAGGGCGATCTTCCACCACCTTCAGTGGAGGAAGAGTAAATGGTCAATGTAGAGATTGACCATAGTGGCGGTTCAAACGGCGGTTCGAGCAACGACGCCGGAGGGGAAGTCCAGCAGTGGCGCAAACTGCCGACCAGGGTGAGATAACGCGCATGCTTCGCCAAGTCATGGCTGATAACCAACAGGTAAAACTTCACTTAGCCTCTTTGGATGGACGTCTTGGTGGTCTTAGCTCTCGGATTGATAGACGTGTTAGCCAATCGATTGAAGTCGTAGATAAAAACAAAATGGATTTTGAAAGTAACAGACGTGATTTTAATGAGTTTAGAGAGTTTTTGAATAGGCCAGTGCCGCAAAAAAGGGCTTTGCCGTTAAGCGGCGAGAATCCGTTACACAATGACACTGGCACCAATAGCTTTCCGGTCAATGGCGGCCGAGATACTCAGCCGAGACAGGGCATTTCGCTGACACCGGTGTTGAACCCAACAAGTCCATCGAGAGTAAATCTGGGCGAGACCAGCACTGCGGCTAACACTCGTGTTGAGCCGCCACCAGTGCACAATGTGAGTCCACAAAATATCCCGGAGGCCAGACCCTAAGTGGCTCCAATGAGCGGTGGTGGTGGTGGAGGAACGATCAACAATGATCATGTTCCGCCACGCGGCTACCCACAAAACATGCCTCCTCCTCCAAACGGGCTTGGCATGGATCCTGGTGGATTCGTACCACAAAGGGCGCAACACATTAATGTGATTCGAGATAAGGTAGCACAGATGCTGGCGGATCAGTTTTGTTTAGGGATTAGACCAGCGATGCCTTCGGTATACCGAAAACCATATCCGGATTGGGTTGATAGATACTATCCCTTTCCACGTGGTTTTCGCGTACCCAATTTCATCACCTTCAGTGGGACTGAAGATCAGTCCACCGTCGAGCACGTTGGACGATTCACAGTTCAATGTGGTGATGTGAGTGATTTCTTGAAGTTGTGTTTGTTTGGCAACTCGTTGACCGGTCCCGCATTCGCGTGGTACGTCAACTTGCCATCGAACTCGGTTCAAACTTGGCAGCAAATGGAACAAATGTTCCATGCCCAGTTCTACCGGTCTGAGCCAAAAGTAACAATGGCAGACTTAGCACGAATGCGCCAATAGCCAGGAGAAACAGTGGAACACTTCTTAACTAACTTTAAAAATGCAAGGAAACGTTGTTTTGTGAACTTGACAGAACGCGAGTTTGTTAAACTGCCTAGGGTGGATTGAATTTTGAACTTCGTAAAAAGTTTCAAGATAGGGAGTTTTCTGATTTGTTTCAATTGATGTCCTGCACTGTTAGATACGAATCTCTTCTCCATGAAGAAGAATATAAGAGAAGTGGCTCTCGGGGACAATATTTCCCTAATTTTGAAAACTATGGTGTGAATAACGTCGGCATCGATGTTGACGAGGTTGAAGTTGATTTGGCCGAGATTGTGCAGGGGAAGCCATATGTGTGTGCTTCTCTAGCTAAGGCCGATGGGGAACCACAAGGTGGAAAACCCAATCGTGCTCTGATTCAAACTAGGAA